TAGTAGTCGACTACAATAAGATGTTTCTTTCCCTTTAGATCGAAGAGATCAGCGGCTAGTCTTTCCCATGGCCTGGATGGGAATGACGATGGCATCAGGGGCTCCTTGGGCACTGGTCTGTTCTTAGCGCACGTAAAACATTTCGTCACCATGTCTGTTATCGCTGTAGTAATCGCCGGCCACCACACAGACATCTTGCCTCGTGCTTGCGTCTTTGTTATCCCAAGGTGTCCTTGATGTAAGAGGTCAAGTATTTCCAGCCTCATTCCTGCTGGAATCACAATACGGTCATCATATAGTAGAATCTTGTCTATCACAGTTAAATGTTTCTTATTCTCCCAGTATGGACGGAGTATGGTAGAACTTGGCATGTAAGCCGGCCATCCTTCTAGGCAGTACTTCTTGATCATCCTGCATACTTCATCCTGGTCTTGGGCTTCACTGATATCTTGCAGCCGCTTAGGCGTTGCTGGAAGCCCTGCTACGATCTGTTGTGTGAAGCTTTCCACTTCCTCCACAAGATCTATGTTCTCATTTACATTCTTCTCGATAGGAGCGCGTGACAACGTGTCTGCGGTAATTTGTTCCTTGCCGGGTACATATACGACGTCGAGTTCGTACTTCATGAGACGCATTCTGAATCTTAAGATGCGTGGTGGCATTTTGGAGAGATCAGTTGAAGTGAAAAGGGGTACTAACGGCTTGTGGTCCGTTTCCACTGTAAACTTCATTCCGAGTACGTAGTCGGAAAACTTGTCACAAGCCCATGTCACAGCCAGGGCTTCTTTCTCAATGACTGCGTACCTTTTCTCAGTTTCTGAGAGGGATCTAGATGCATAGTACACCGGCTTCCTGGTACCGTCCTCTTGGAGCTGTAGAAGAACAGCTCCAAGTCCAAAGTTAGAGGCATCGCTTGAGATGACTGTAGGACGACTTGGGTCGTAGTGGGCAAGGTTTGTTGCAGATGTCAGTTCATTCTTGATTCCTTCAAATGACTGCTGTTGGGCTTTATCCCATTTCCACATGTTCTCTTTTTTTAGGAGTTGTCGTAGTGGTTCGTTGAGATTGGCCAGGTTTGGTATAAACTTTGCCATTTGATTGACCATTCCCATGAAGCGTTGGAGGTCGTTGACTTTCTGTGGGACTGGGAAATTGCGTATAGCTTCAGTTTTGGCCGGGTCTGGACGGATGCCTTGTTCGTCGATAATATGTCCCAGGAATTTTACAGAACGTTTAGAAAACTCACATTTCTCGTTGAGCGTCACTCCGGCTACCTGTAGCCGCTTAAGGACAGTTCTCAGTCGTTCATCATGCTCCGCTTGTGTTGCCGCGTGTACAAGGGTGTCATCAATATGGCATACGACTCCCTTGAGGTCCCCCAGGATACTAGTCATGGTGCGCTGGAAGACTTCCGGGGCTGAGGTGATCCCAAAGGGAAGACGATTAAAACAGTAACGACCGTATGGCGTGATGAAGGTTGTAAGTAGGCGGGACTCCTTGTCGAGAGGGAGTTGCCATATCCGCTATTAGCGTCGAGTTTGCTGAGGACTCTACTTTTACTCAGCTTTGCTAGGCTTTCATCTAAGGAATACATTGGATGGACCTCTCTCTTAACGCTTTTGTTGAGTTGGACTAGGTCTACGTAGATGCGAACTTTTCCGTTTGGCTTGAGGACGGGGACTATCCCGGAGCACCATTCGGTTGGCTCTGTAACTGGGGAGATGACTCCTTCTTGAATCATCCTCTCTAATTCCTCCTTTACTTTAGGGAGTAATGGGTGGGGAACTCTTCTTGGTGTGTACAGGCACACTGGCTGGGCGTCAGGTTAAAGGGCAATACGATATTCCGTTGTCATCTTCCCGAGTCCGGTAAACAACTTTGGGAATTCCGTTCTAAAGTTAGGTACTTGCGTACTCAGTTCTTCAACGTCTGCGTCGAGGCGTTGGACAAGACCGATATCGACACAGGCTCGTCTGCTGAGGAGCGACGATGACTGGTTTCTAATGACGTAAACTCGTTCTTGGATCTTGCATTGTCTGTACTTAATCGTGGCTAGGAATGATCCAGTAACAGGTAGGCGGAGTGGCATGCGTGAGAGTGAGGCACGTGTGCGAAAGAAGGGGGTGAGCCTTGTCCTTACGCACGCCACTTGCACGAAGCGCACGACAACGCGGCCAAAATGGAATCCCAGGTGCACTAGACCCAGGGGAGTTAGTTGGGGAATAGACGCGCAACTCCGGGAAATGACGGGCGCCTGAGTGGCATTAGTGAGAGTGAGGCACATGTGCGAAAGAAGGGGATGAGCCTTGTAATCACGCATGCCACTTCCACGAAACGCATGACAACGCCGCCAAAATAAAATCCCATGTTCAATAGACCCAGGGGAGTTAGTTGGGGAATAGACGCGCAACTCCGGGAAGTCACGGGCGCCGGAGTGGCATGCGTGAGAGTGAGAGGCTGTGCACTATGAGGCACATGTGCGAAAGAAGGGGGTGAGCCTTGTACTCACGCATGCTACTTCCACGAAACGCAGGTTTACACAGTTGCCTCAGAGTGCGGTGGGTCTCACTCTCACGCATGCCACTCCAACGCCCGTCATTTCCCATAGTTGCGCGTCTATTCCCGAGGTCCCTTGTGTCTAGTTAACTTGGGATTCTTTTTCGTGCGCGTTGGCATGCGTTACGTAGAAGTTACATGCGTGAGTGCAAGCCTCACCCCTTGGTTTACACAGGTCCTTCAGAGTGCGATGGGACTTACTCTCACGAATGCCACTCCGGTGCCCTTGATTTCCCGGAATTGCACGTCTATTCCCAAGGTCTCTTGTGTCTAGTGAACCTGAGATTCCATTTTGGCCGCTTTGGCATACGTTACGTAGAAGTGGCATGCGTGAGTTCAAGCCTAACCCCATGGTTTACACAGGTGCCTCAAAGTGCGATGGGACTCACTCTGACGCATGCCACTCCGGCGCCCGTAATTTCCCGGAGTTGCGCGTCCCTTCCCGTGGTCTCTTAGGTCTGGCGAACATGGGATTCAATTTTGGCCGTGTTGGCATGCGTTATGTAGAAGTGGCAAGCGTGAGAACAAGCCTCAACCTCTCTTTTTTACAGGTGCCTAAGAGTGCAGTGGGGCTCATTCTCACGCATGCCACTCCGGCGCCCGTGATTTCCCGGAGTTGCACTTCTATTCCAGAGGTCTCTTGTGTCTAGTGAATCTGGGATTCCACGTTAGCCGCGTTTGCAAGCGTCACGTAGAAGTGGCATGCGTGAGTACAACCCTCACCCCTTGTTGTTTACAGGTGCCTAAGAGTTCAGTTGGGCTCATTCTTACGCATGCCACTCCGGCGCCAGTAATTTCCCAGAGTTGCGCGTCTATTCCCGATGTCCCTTGGGTCCATTGAACCTGGATTCCATTTTGGTGGCTTTGGCATGCGTTACGTAGAGGTGGCATGCGTGAGAACAAGCCTCAACCCTTCATTTGCACACGTGCCTAGGAGTGCATGGGGATTCATTCGAACGCATGCCACTCTGGCGCCCCGTCATTTCCCGTAGTTGCGCGTCTATTCCCGAGGGCCCTTGGGTCCATTGAACCTGGATTCCATTTTGGTGGCTTTGGCATGCGTTACGTAGAGGTGGCATGCGTGAGAACAAGCCTTAACCCTTTCTTTGGACAGTTGCCTTAGAGTGCATAGGGGTTCATTCGCACGCATTGGCACACACTCTGGCGCCCGTGATTTCCCGGAGTTGCGTGCCTTTTCACCAGGTTCCTTGGGTCAAGTGAAGCTGGGATTCTATTTTGGCCGCTTTGGCATGCGTTACGTATAAGTGGGATGCGTGAGAACGAGCCTCAACCCTTCCTTTGCACATGTGCCTAAGAGTGCATGGGTGTTTAATCCAACGCATGCCACTCCGACGCCCGTTATTTCCCGTAGTTGCGCATTTATTCCCGAGGTGTCTTGGGTCCTCTGAAACTGGGATTCCATTTTGACC